AAAACCATTATTCTTTTCTGACTTCTGCTGTAAGTGCTAACTTTTGTTACAAAAAGCTATATCACCCTAAACTTCCTGCTGTATTGGTATGAGGAGAAATTTTCAAAATAATCATTTAGATTTCACATGTAGTTGAATTATTTTTTGATTCAGAAGTTAATGTTATTTTACTCTAACATGACAGTTTAGCTGTTTGCAAAAGGCTCAATCCAACAAAAAAGTAAGTTTCTGTAAAGTGGATTAAGTTTTATATCATCAAAGTATACATTCTGATATAAACTGAATGAGTATTTAATCAATACATTAAATTCTACTAATTCCTACATCTAGAATGTTGCCATTATTGATATTCATAACTATAAATTGCCTAAGAGCATCCCTCTGCTATTTCTATTGTATTTCTCTAGACTGTTTCAATTATTTTTTAAACAAATCCATATAAACTTAGAATCACAAATTTAAAATTTTAGCTCCCACTCCTTTATTCTTCTATGGTTCCTAGCTTTTTCTTTTATGAAGTAAAGTCATAGGTTGGATTGGCTCTACACTGTAGGTGGTTTAACCCCACAAAGAATGCTTGCCAGTGTTTCCACACACATTTTGTTTTCATACTAGGGAATATTACTACAATCTTACTGGCCAGAAGCCAGGGATGCTGCCAAAAACCTGTGCTGAACATGACAGCCTTTCAGCAATGTGGCCCAAAGTAAGCGTACTGTCAAGATTGAAAACTGTGGAATAGATGATCTCTTAAATAAAACTGAACTGAACTATGGTGATTATATCTTTTAGTAAATAAAACTTTCAAAGCTTATAGATAAATAATCATACTTTTATTTAGTAAAGAATACTTGTTGAACATTTTTTGGAAAAAGCATGTCTTTTATGTTTGACGGATCCAGGGAATTAGAAATTATACATTATATTTCTATATTATTCAGTGGAAAATAGTTTAGAATGGTTAAATTATTTACTCAAGGTTATGTCTTTTTACTAATGTGCCATTTTTATTTTTTTCTTGTCACCTAGCACTACAGATCAAATACCCTAACCTCACTCCAAATTATTATGAATGTTTTATTTTCTCAAATTATATAAGCCTTCAATGTAGGAAGGAAATAAAATAGCACAACACCTTTTTGAGCTAAGGTCTCACTGAGCATCCCTGGCTGGCCTAGAACTCTGTGTATAGACAGGCTACCCTCAAACTCACAGAGATATGCCTGCATCTGCCCCTGAGTGTTGGGATTAAATAAAGGTGCACACCACTAGATCCCACTAAAACATTTTTATTAACAGGAATAATGTTGATTCATTCTTCAACCAAAGACTGAAGCTGCACTTAAACACAAATACATTACATTGAACAGATGGACTCTTTTATCAGATACCAGTTATAATTTGTCACAAAACTACTGTTTCATTTCAAATAATCTTCCTAAATACTATGCAAGAGAAGATCGCTGACATCATGATACCATAACAAAAGTTTGTGAAATAAACTCAAGTTCAAAATAAACTTTAGCAATAGAAATCTGAAAGCGTTTGTCCAACAACTAACTAGTTAACAGCAGGATGAATCTGGTCTGGTAGCTTTTACAACTGATTTCTTTCTAAATTAAATATCTTCACAAGTTCATGTTTACCCATCTACCAAAAATGTTTGTTTTCTATATTACTAAGAAAGAAGGGGGAAGCTTGAGAAAAGTGTAAAGGAAAAAAGAGATGGAGGATATACATCTCTCAGGCTTCTTCAGCTATGCCTCAGTCCCGCAATCCCAGTCTTTGACAAGCACTTCAGGTTAGGGCCCAGTGTTCTCCAGGAACTAGTTCATTAAAAGGAAGGTTTTCCTACTAAGGAATGCTAGTCACTTGGGTCACATCAAGAAAGCTGACTCTCCCTCTCCCAGCAGCTATCAGATACCAATAGCCACTTAGCCAAAACAGCTTCTCTTCCCAGCCAGACTTCCTCCTAACAAACGTCGGCCTAAAAAAAATAAACAACAACAACAACAACAAAAAACCTGTCATTCAACACTTCAACCTATTTAAGAAGTAGCTGTCAGGGACTGCTTGGGCAGAATGAGATTTGAATCCTGGCTCTAATCCATAGTTTATGTGTGACTTTGAGAAGACCACTAATCCCCGCAAGCTTCACATTGCACTTTTGAGCACATAGAATCATGTTCATATTGAATGTAGGGACATGCAGCTTGAGGGGGAAATTGGACAATATAGACTGGTCCTTAAGAACAAGAAATTTGTTCTCAGTAGAAATCCAACTTCCACAATCCTCCTAATAATAAATTTAAGACTAAAAAAATCTCTTTTTTTTTAATTTGGGGGGAAGTGGTGCATGTTGACATATACCACAGCATACATGTAATAGTAGAAGTAAGTTCTGTCCTTCCATTGTATGGGTTCTGAGAATCCAATTTAGGGCCTGGCAGCAAGCACCATTACCCACTGTGCCTCTCACTAGCTCAAAAGGGATCTTAGGAGGTTAAAATGATCATTTGAATATAGCAAAGCAAAATGTAAATAGTAGTAATATAAATATATATTAGGTCTGCTTTGGGGTATAGTTTTAATCAACTCTAGATAGAATAGAACCATGTATGTATTTGTCAGAAGGCTCCTGAGTGTGAGTCAGCAATATGGTGTGAACTTGTCTTGGGCTACGTTACTAGAAGATATGTATTCAAAATAAGGGTTTAAGTATACTTAACACTGACTAACCATATATGTAAAATGGTTGCAATACTAAACTGTGTTTTTCAGAATTTAAAAAAAAGGAAGGTGGAGCAGAGTGCAGTTGTCACACATGTAATAATAGCACTTTAGGAATCCAAGGATGTAAATTCAAGGGCAGCCTGAATTACATAATGAGAACCAATCTCAAAACATAAAAACAACAACAAAAGTCTGATACCTTTTTACTGGTCATTATTATGACATTGTTAAGGGGATTGTGCTTAAAAGAACTGCAGTTAATTCACAAAAGTAGTAAAGAGAAAGGGAAAGAAGACAATAATTCTAAATATTGAACAAATGTTATACTGGAAGGAAGGGATATATACTTACCATGTGTTAGGAAAATTAAAGTAAAGTAAATCTTAGGTATATTTTTGTTTGACTTTTTTTTACTGATATTGGTATTTTTGAGTTAGAATAAAAAATAATGGGATACAAAATAATTTCTCTATGACATTTTAATACTAAAATGTTGCTGTGATTTATTCATACAAACCTCCTTTTACCCTCCCTTGGATTAGTTCCCTTTTTCTTTGTCCCTTGTGGCCTTTAATCCCAGCACTCGGGAGGCAGAGGCAGGCGGATCTCTGTGAGTACGAGACCAGACTGGTCTACAGAGCTAGTTCCAGGACAGGCTCCAAAGCTACAGAGAAACCCTGTCTTGAAAAACAAATATATATATATAATATTTGTAGTTCTTTTCTCAATTAATCTCTTATTCTTTCCTTATTCCTCAAAAGACCCCTACCTCATTTGGCATGGTCAGCCTTTGATATTCATGTCATATGTGTATATAAATAAAATTAAATATATGTTAACTAAAATATAGAATGAAAGTATTTCAAGTAAGGGAAGAATATAAATAATAATGGAAAGTTTAAATTGGAGCCAAATAATGATAGGATTCATTAAGGCATATGAATTTAATTCTACATTAAATAGAGTGAAAGTAATGTTTTACAATTGATAAATGACATAATTTCGAGTTTGCATAGAAGAAAAACATAGTATTTTCCAGAGTCTGGCTTACTTTTCTTAACATGTCCCATTCATTTTCCTGTAGTTGAAATAATTTCACTCTTGTGTATGGAAAAAAAACCTTGCATATAAATACTACATTTTCTTTATCCATTCATCTGTTGATAGGCATCATGAATAGTTCTATACCTTGACTATTGTGACTAGTGCTCTAATAAACAGAAATGGGTGAATTTCTTTTTTTTGACATTTTCTCTTTCTTTCTTTTTTTCTTTCTTTCTTTATTAAAGATTTCTGTCTCTTCCCCGCCACCGCCTCCCATTTCCCTCCCCCTCTCCCAGTTAGGTCCCCCTCCCTCATCAGCCCAAAGAGCAATCAGGGTTCCCTGCCCTGTGGGAAGTCCAAGGGCCACCCACCTCCATCCAGGTCTAGTAAGGTGAGCATCCAAACTGCCTAGGCTCCCACAAAGCCAGTATGTGCAGTAGGATCAAAAACCCATTGCCATGGTTCTTGAGTTCTCAGTAGTCCTCATTGTCCACTATGTTCAGCAAGACCTGTTTTAACCCAGGCTTTTTCAGACCCAGGCCAGCTGGCCTTGGTGAGTTCCCGATAGAACATCCCCATTGTCTCAGTGTGTGGGTGCACCCCTCTCGGTCCTGAGTTCCTTGCTCGTGCTCTCTCTCCTTCTGCTCCTGATTTGGACCTTGAGATTTCTGTCCGGTGCTCCTATGTGGGTCTCTGTCTCTGTCTCCTCTCATCGCCTGCTGGAGGTTAATATCCAAGAGGATGTCTATATGTTTTTCTTTGGGTTCACCTTCTTATTTAGCTTCTCTAGGATCATGAATTATAGGCTTGTGTCCTTTATTTATGGCTAGAAACCAAATATGAGTGAATACATCCCATGTTCCTCTTTTTGGGTCTGGCTTACCTCACTCAGGATAGTGTTTACTATTTCCATCCATTCGTATGCAAAATCCAAGAAGTCATTGTTTTTTACTGCTGAGTAGTACTCTTAATATGTATATATTCCATACTTTCTTCATCCATTCTTCCATTGAAGGGCATCTAGGTTGTTTCCAGGTTCTGGATATTACAGACAATGCTGCTATGAACATAGTTGAGCATATACTTTTTAGTATGATAGGGCATGTCTTGGGTATATTCCCAAGAGTGGTTTGCTGGGTCCAGGGGTAGGTTGATCCCGAATTTCCTGAGAATCTGCGACACTGTTTTCCAAAGTGGTTGCACAAGTTTGCATTCCCACCAGCAATGGATGAGTGTACCCCTTTCTCCACAACCTCTCCAGCAAAGGCTATCATTGGTGTTTTTGATTTTAGCCATTCTGACAGGTGTAAGATGGTATCTTAAAGTTGTCTTGATTTGCATTTCCCTGATTGCTAAGGAAGTTGAGCGTGACCTTAAGTGTCTTTTGGCCATTTGAACTTCTTCTGTTGAGAATTCTCTGTTCAGCTCAGTGCCCCATTTTATAATTGGGTTGATTAGCCTTTTACGGTCTAGTTTCTTGAGTTCTTTATATATTTTGGAGATCAGACCTTTGTCTGTTGCGGGGTTGGTGAAGATTTTCTCCCAGTCAGTGGGTTGCCTTTCTGTCTTAGCAACAGTGTCCTTTGCTTTACAGAAGCTTCTCAGTCTCAGTCTCAGTTGGCCTTAATGTCTGTGCTGCTGGGGTTATACATAGGAAGCGGTCTCCTGTGCCTTTGTGTTGTAGAGTACTTCCCACTTTCTCTTCTATCAGGTTCAGTGTGTTCAGACTGATATTGAGGTCTGTAATCTATTTGGACTTGAGTTTTGTGCATGGTGATAGATATGGATCTATTTTCATTCTTCTACAGATTGACATCCAGTTTTGCCAGCATAATTTGTTGAAGATGTTCTCTTTTTTCCATTGTATACTTTTAGCTCCTTTATCGAAAATCAGGTGTTCGTAGGTTTGTGGGTTAAAGTCAGGGTCTTCTATTTGATTCCATTGGTCGACTTCTGTGTTTTTATGCCAATACCAAGCTGTTTTCATTACTGTAGCTCTGTAATAGAGTTTGAAGTCAGGGATGGTAATGCCTCCAGAAGTTCCTTTATTATATAAGATTGTTTTGGCTACCCTGGGTTTTTTGTTTTTCCATATAAAGTTGATTATTGTCTTCTCCAGATCTGTGAAGAATTTTGATGGGATTTTGATGGGTATTGCATTGAATCTATAGATTGTTTTTGGTAGAATTGCCATTTTTACTATGTTGATCCTCCCAATCCAAGAGCAAGGGAGATCCTTCCATTTTCTGGTGTCCTCTTCAATTTCTTTCTTCAAAGACTTAAAGTTCTTGTCAAATAGATCTTCCACTTCCTTGGTCAGAGTTACCCCCAAGATATTTTATGCTCTTTGTGGCTATTGTGAAAGGTGATGCTTCTCTGATTTCCCTCTCTGTTTCCTTTTTCTTAGTGTATAGGAAGGCAACTGATTTTTTTGGAGTTGATCTTGTATCCTGCCACATTACTAAAGGTGTTTATCAGCTGTAGGAGATCTTTGGTAGAGTTTTTGGGGTCGCTTATGTATACTATCATATCATCTGCAAATAACGAAAGCTTAACTTCTTCCTTTCAAATACGAATCCCCTTGATCCCCTTATGTTGTCTTATTGCTATTGCTATAACTTCAAGCACTATGTTGAAGAGGTATGGAGAGAGTGGACATCCTTGTCGTGTTCCTGATTTTAGTGGGATGGCTTTGAGTTTTTTTCCATTTAATTTAATGTTAGCTGTCGGCTTCCTGTAAATAGCTTTTATTATATTTAGGTATGACCCTTGTATCCCTAATCTCTCCAAGACCTTTATCATAAAGTGGTGTTAAATTTTGTCGAATGCTTTTTTAGCATCTAATGAAATGATCATATGTTTTTTTTTCTTTCAGTTTATTTATATGGTGGATTACATTGATAGATTTTCGTATGTTGACCCAGACCTGCATTTCTGGGATGAAGCCTACTTGATCACAATGGATAATTTTTCTAATGTGTTCTTGGATTCGGTTTGCCAGTGTTTTATTGAGAATTTTTTCGTCGATATTCATGAGTGAGATAGGCCTGTAATTCTGTTTCTTGGTTGGGTTTTTGTGTGGTTTTGGTATCAGGGTAACTGTAGCTTCATAAAAGGACTTTGGAAATGACTCTTCTGTTTTTATATTGTGAAATACATTAAGGAGTATAGGTTTTAGCTCTTCTTGGAAGTTCTGGTAGAATTCTGCATTGAAACCATCTGGTCCTGGGCTTTTTTTGGAAGGGAGATTTTTGATAACAGTTTCTAGTTCTTCACGACTAACGAATCTATTTGGATTGTTCACCTGGTCTTGGTTTAGCTTTGGTATATGGTACTTATCTAAAAAAAATGTCCATTTCTTTTGCATTTTCCAGTTTTGTGGCATACAGGCTTTTGTAGTAAGATCTAATGATTCTCTGAATTTCCTCTGTGTCTGTGGTTATGTCCCCCTTTTCATTTTTAATCTTATTTATTTGCGTGTTCTCTCTCTGTTGTTTAATTTGTTTGGATAGGGGTTTGTTGATCTTGTTGATTTTCTCCAAGAAGCAACTTTTTGTTTTATTGATTCTTTGGACTGTTTTCTGTGTTTCTATTTTGTTGATTTCTGCCCTCAGTTTGATTATTTCCAGTCTTCTACTCCTCCTAGGTGAGTCTGCTTCTTTATTTTCTAGAGCTTTGAGGTGGGCTGTTAAGTCCCCAATGTATGCTTTCTCCGTTTTATTTAAGTGGGCACCTAGTGCTATGAACTTTCCTCTTAGCACTGCTTTCATTGTGTCCCATAGGTTTGAGTATGTTGTCTCTTTATTTTGATTTAATACAAGGAAGACGTTAATTTCTTTCTTAATTTCTTCCTTGACCCAGGTGTGGTTCAGTAGTTGACTGTTCAGTTTCCATGAGTTTGTCGGCTTTCTGGGGGTAGCATTGTTGTTGCCTTCTAACTTTAATCCGTGGTGATCTGATAAGACACAGGTGGACACTGATATTTTTTTTTATCTGTGGAGGTTTCCTTGATTTTGAGTATGTGGTCAATTTTCGAGAAGGTTCCATGAGCTGCAGAGAAGAAGGTGTATTCTTTCCTATTTGGGTGGAGTGATCTATAGATGTCTGTTAAGTCCATTTGCTTCATTACCTCCAATAATTCTCTTAATGCTCTATTAGATTTCTGACTGATTGACCTGTCCATTGGAGAGAGAAGTGTGTTGAAGTCTCACACTACTAGTGTGTGTGGCTTGATGTCTGCCTTGAGTTTTAGTCATATTTCTTTTACATAAGTGGGTGCTTTTATATTAGGGGCATAGATATTCAGAATTCATCCTGATGAATTGTTCCTGTTATGAGTGTAAAGTATCCATCTCAATCTCTTCTGGTTGATTTTAGTTTGAAGTCATTTTTGTTAGAAATTAGTATGGCCACACCTGCTTTTTTCTTAGGTCCATTTGCCTGAAACACCTTTTCCCAACCCTTTACTCTGAGTAGATGCCTGTCTTTGTGGTTGAGATGTGTTTCTTGCAAACAGCAGAATATTGGATCCTGTTTTCGTATCCAATCTCTTAGCCTGTGCCTTTTTATAGGTGAATTGAGTCCATTAATATTAAGTGATATTAATGACCAGTGGTTGTTTACTCCGGTTATTCTTATTGTCTTTGGTAGTAGAGTTTGTGTGTCTCCCTTCTTTGAGTTGTGCTGGTGAAGGGTCGCTAGATGCCTGAGTTATTGTTTGAGGGTTGGCAATGTTGGATTCCTTGGCTTGCTATTTTCCTTCTATTACTTTCCGTAGGGCTGGATTTGTGGCTACGTATTGTTTTAATTTGTTCTTATCCTGGAATGTCTTGTTTTCTCCATTGATAGTGAACAATAGCTTGGCTGGGTATAGTAGTTTGTGTTTGCATCCATGGTCTTTTAGTTTCTGCAGTACCTCTATCCAGGACCTTCTGGCTTTCAGGGTTCCCATAGAGAAGTCAGGTGTAAGTCTGATCGGTTTACCTTTATAAGTTAATTGACCTTTTTTCATTGCAGCTCTTAATATTCTTTCTTTAACCTGTATATTTTGTGTTTTGATTATTATGTGGCAAGGGGATGTTTTTCTTTGATCCAGTCTGTTTGGTGTCCTGTATGGTTCTTGAATATTCAAAGGAATATCTTTCTTTATGTTGGGAAAGTTTTCTTCCATAATTTTGTTAAAAATATTTCTGGGCCTTTGAGCTGTGACTCTTCTCCTTCTTCTACCCCTATTATTCTTATGTTTGGTCTTTTTATTGTGTCCATAGTTCCTGAATGTTTTGTGATGAGAATTTGTTGGCTTTGCTGTTTTCTTTGATCAGTGCGTTTATTTTCTCTATGGTGTTCTCAGAATCTGAGATTCTTTCTTCTATCTCTTGTATTCTATTGGTTATGCTTGTTTCTGTAGACTCTGCTCGTTGACCTAGATTTTCCATATCTAGCTCGTCCTCAGTTTGTGTTTTCTTCCTTGTTTCCATTTCAGTTTTCAATTCTTGAACTGTTTCCATTACCTGTTTGATTGTTTTTTCTTGGTTTCCCAGGGTATCATGTACATATTTACTCATTTCTTCAAACTTTTGTTATACTTCTCATCCATTTCTATAAGGGCATTTTTTTACATGTTGTTTAAGGGACTCTATTGCTTTCATAAAGTCAAATTTTTCTACTTCTTGTATGTTAGGTGTTCAAGTCCTCCTGTTGTAAGGTCATTGGATTCTCGTGTTTTCATGTTGTTTTTCAGATTATTGGGTGAATTCTTGCCTTGGCACCTGCCAATCTCCTCCTATCGATGCTATCTAATCGGTCTTTTTCAGGTTTCCCTGTTGGCCAGAGGCTCCTCTTACAAAATGCCCCCACTCTGTTTCCTGGCTCCTGCCAGGGACCAAGATCCCTCTCACCCCTCAGAAGAGTCTTCAGGAACAGGACCAGGTTCCCCGTTTGCCAGGGACCTCGACAACAAAAGGTCTACCTCTTTAATTTAATTTTAGTGGGGCGATCTGCTCTCGGTCTTGCGCACTGCTGCGCCAGTTCCCGCTGCCTTCGTCTGCTGCCATGCCGGTCCCCGCTGCCGCTGCCAGGTGAATTTCTTTGGGAATATAACAAAGGACTAGTATATTAAGAATGCTTCTAGAGTAAATAATGAGTCATCTTCTTTTATTATTCTCACATCATATATTTCAATTTTCTATTATAATTTTTAAAACAATTTTATTTTAGATACCAATCCCTGTTCCCTCTCCCCCTCATCCTCCTACTTCCCCCACCTTCTCCCTACCCCACCCTCCATCTACTCCTCAGAGAGGGTAAGGCCTCCTATGAGGAGTCAACAAAATCTGTCACATCACTTGAGGCAGGACCAAGGCCCTCCCTGCTGGATCTAGGCTGAGCAAGATGTCCCTCCATAGCGAATGGGCTCCAAAGAGCTAGTTCATGCAATAGGGATAAATCCTGGTTCCACTGCTAGTGGCCCCACAAACTTCCCAAGCCACACAACTGTCACCCACATTCAAAGTGCTTAGGTTGGTCATATGCAGGTACCCCAACTGTCACTCCAGAGTCAGCTCCCACTTGCTCAGGTCAGCTGTTTCATTATGATTTTGGCCCCTTTGATCATAATATCTCTCCTCCTTCTCTCCGACTGGACTCTAGGTGTTTGGCCCAGTGCTTAGCTGTAAATCTCTACAACTGGATGAAGGTCCGGTGATGACAATTAAGGTAGTCATTATCCTGATTACAGGGGAAGGGTAGTTAAGGGATCCTCTCCACTATTCCTTAGATTCTTAGCTGGGGTCATCCTTGTGGATTCCTGGGAATTTTCCTAGTGCCTGGTTTCTCGCTAACCCCACAATGGCTCTCTCTTTCAAGGTATCTCTTTCCTTGTTCTCCTTCTCTGTCCTTCACTCAACAATTTTTTTAACATGCTAAACTTGGAACTTCAACACTCTGATAGTGAAAAAGAGAATTTGCCACTGGTAATAATTGTAGATTGTAAGGTTGAATCTTCACCTTTTATCAGAAACAGCATTACTTAAGCTTAAATATGTAGATCTGAATGTCTACCATATTGATACAAAATGCTAAGCTCAGCCTTTAATACTTTTTGATTTTGAGAGATGGACCTTTTCTTTATGTATCTATGGCTGGTTCAAGTTTGTATCTATCTGGTTCAAGCCTCAAGTCTACAACTGACTGATATTATACCCATGTTGAGCCACTTATTTCTCTCTAATGTAAATAAATTCAAATACCCTAAAGTAGCTTGTCATTATTTGATTCTATTCTGAACCTTCCACTATTATTTATACTCTTGCCTTCCTTGAAATACTTTTGTTCTGTTATTTTTTATTATTTTTAAAGTGTGTATTAATGTTTTAATTAATGCACAAAGTAAGGTGTTTCATTTTGGCATTTTCTTGTATGTATCATTATATATTGTTCTAATTTGTCCCCTTCCCCACTGCCCTTCTCTCTGCCTGTGCCTCCCAGGGTTAGTTCTCTGTCACCCCTTGAAAGTGATCCCCATTCTGCTTTCTTGTCTCTCTTTTCCACCATCCCTTAAGATCCTTTCCTCCCTTTTAACAATCCCCTTTCTAGCTTGATGTTCTGCACACATACTTGAATGCATATGCACAGGTATATACACATACATATAATTTTAAATCTGGATTCCACATATACCAGGAACCAAGATTCTAGAATCTTGCTTATTTCACCTAGCATGATTTCTAGTCCTTCCATTTTCCTGACAAATATTATAATTTCATTTTTATTTATACCTTAGTGAGATTCTATTGTTTACATGTATTTTAAAGCTTAGACAGAACTTGTTATCCATAATTTTCAACCCATTTCTCTCAGAATATACCATTACCCTCTTACATCTTTTATTGCCTGAAACATTTTGGCTTGGGGATTTTCATTTTTCCATATACATCTTACCTTCCTTATTTAATTGTACTCCTTGGAGTTAGGGATTAGTCATTTCCAACATGGAATTGTGTGTGTGTGTGTGTGTATAATGGAAAGAGTCAATGTAAAACAAAGGTTTGTGTACCATTCCACCAAAGAAAGCATGGCAGATTATTTCAATTTCACTTACTTCCAGTTTCCTAACTCAGAATGTACAAAGTACTATTTACTGTATACATTTGTGTTAAGGTCTAAGGGTTTAACATGAACAGATGCTCAATTATATTGATCTTTTGTCTGCTTCTTTCTGGACTATGTTACATAATGGTTTGAAGCTAAGCTTAATTAGTATCAATAAAACTAAAACATGTTGGAATATATGGAGGGTGTGAATTAAAGTGTTGTTATGTGAAATTCAAAGGAAGATGTAGATAATAACAAATATTATACATCAGAGTTGTTAGGAATCAGTGATTCAGTGAAGAGAATGGCTGAGCTTTTGAACCCAGCTATATTGTGCCATTTGATAAACAAACAGACCAAACCTTGTTTGAGAAAATAAGTTAAAGACAGTAAGTCTTAACAGTACTATTCTAAAGGGGGAAGAGACAGTAGAGTAAGCATAAATTTATTCAGGTTAAAAGAAAGAACTCCCAAGAGTGGGAGGGAATCCCATATGGGAAATGACAATTTCATCTTCAAGAAATTTTCCTTCAGTTGTAATGTTATTTTGCCACCAAGGGATTGCTTGTCTAAAAACTTGTGATAGGCCACATGATGTGATCCTCTAGAAGGCTCACTGCTAGTATCCTTGTGCACTTTCCTGTTTAGGTAAGCAAGTGTGCATGCCCACATTCCCAGGCTTGGCCCTGAAATCTGAATCCAGTGTGGTAGATTTACTCGTCAGTTATTTAGGGATGGGACTAGAGTCTGAGTCCACAAGGATGACCCTGGATCTTGTATCTGTACTGAGTATCCTGGAGTCTTGGGACTTAGTTACTGGGGAACAACTAGGTATATAAAGGCCTAGTGAGGTCTTGGAACTCCAGGGGCCATCCTGGGAACTGGTAACACAAGAGTGGTGTCGGAACCTGGGTTGTGGGGAGATGTCCAGCTCTAAGGTCTAGTGGGACAGACCTGAACACTAGTCTTTTAGAATATGGGACATAGAATCTAGCATGGAGAGTGATGCTGCAGGTATTAGCCTAGAGGTGGTATAAGGTCCAAGTTGACAATGTGGCAAGCTAAAGGTTCTGTCTACAAGTACAAGCCTGAAGCTCTGTCCACAATAGCTCAAGAGGTTGGGGCCCATGTGAGCTATCCTGAAACCCAAGGCTGTTGAGATGATTCTGGTGCTAAGAGTAAGCTGGCCAGACATTAATTAGAGCAGCCTGGAAACTAAAACTGTTGCACCACCATAGAGCCTGAAATGGCAGGATCCAGAGAGTTCCCAGAGCTGGTTTAGAAACTCAGTCTGGAAACACCTGCCTGATTATTATGGGGCTTTTGGGTGCCTGCAAGGTGATGAGTTTTAACAAAGTGTGCCCACTATATTAGGGTTCAAAGTAAAACATGATTTTCATTACCTGCTCTTTCCTTATACACAAAGTATCTTCCTTCATTTCATTCCAGCCAGGATTGAGGAAGGGATGATACAGGTAACCTGAAGTTTCCATCTTATGCTATCCAGTATATTTTATGTCTTCAATACACCCAGATACTATAATCTACAGTCTTATTTCCTTAACTCCTGAAAAGGTATTTTGTAAAAGGATAATTATTTGAATTGATATCCTAACAGTTTGCTGATATCTATCCTCACCATATACAGAAAGTGCTGTGTGCTTTTTGCAAAACAAGTTGTAGTGAGTAAAATGTTAAGTCTTCTTCTCTTATCTTCTCCCACTTTCCAGAGCAGAGCTAAATACATTTAAATTTAGTTTAGATCATTCTGTAACTTTCTATGTGTATATGTATGTATATTTCATGTTATCTTTGTTAGAAATTGAGTATATTGTATTTTAGTAAAACTTTTATTTATTCAGTATACCATCCATGAAAGTATGTGTAATACAAACATACTCATTCAAATAGCCAAATAATAAGCAAAAGTATGATTATTTTTATTAAAAGTCGTACATACCTTGGCATTGTCTTCTGTAAAACAAAATATCAAGACTGTTTTTTAAGTTTAGCCTTTCATTACTGATTCCTTAAATCATTCTTTGAAGTTCAAGGAGTAACATATATCCATTTAACTATTCCTTTACAAAGTTATTGCCTGGGTTTGCCATTCCAAATTGGTAACTGTTGCCATATTATACATCAAATATATATATATATGTGTGTGTAAATACATGTATGTATGTATATATATATATACTCACATGTATATATATTTCACATTCAATGGCATATTTGAAGAGAAGGCTGTTAGTATATACTACCAAATATAAAAATTTGATTAGTTCAAATTTCATTGGTATGATAGATTTTTTTTACTTTATTTATAGATGACACCTGTGAAGGACAAGAAAGGTCTGCATATTTTACAGATGATTTTTGTCAAACATGTGGAGTGGTACTGCAGCATGAATCAGAAAGGATTTCACATTATAAGGTTGGTTGGTTAAATGCGGTGGGAATGAGGATGAGGAATCATATTTTTAAGTGTAGCGAGTTAACTGCATTTAAGTCGTTTTACTTGATTAGTTTAAAGACCTGGAACATAGTAACATTTCTTTTTTCTTTTTTTAATTTTTTCGAGACAAGGTTTCTCTGTTGCTTTGGTGGCTGTCCTGGAACTAGCTTTTATAGACCAGGCTGGCCTTGAACTCAGAGAGATCTGCCTGCCTCTGCTTCCTGAGTGCTGGGATTAAAGGCATGCACCACCACCGCCTGGCAACATGGTAACATTTCTAGTTGACAGACAGGAATATTGGCTCAGGAAAGGATAGTCACAAATTTAAGTTAGGGAATATAGATTAAACTCCTTGGTTTTGATTGCAAACTTTCTTTTCTTTCCTTCACACCATTCTGCCTTCCTTTGTATTCTCTATTATTATAGCAAATATATTGTAGATATTAACAAGTTTGAGGGATACTGTAGAACTCCTAGAATCTTCATTTATAATAAACGTAGACCATAGATTTGGCTTGTCAGCATCCTGCCATTGAGGTTGAAGAGGCTCAAAAGACCCACTTTCCCAGTTCCATTGACAGTTAACAGTTGTTAGGAGGCAGGAGATCAAGAGGCCTCATCACTCCCTGTGCATTGACAATTGATGGTTGCTGGGAAAGGGGGGGATTTTCTGCACTGATGTAGTCACTGAGGTCTAAAGATTTGAAAGGAGTGGAACTCTAGTTATTGCAGTCAAGGGTTGACGATGTAGCCCAAAAGTGTGTCACTTGTCTAGCCTGTTCAAGACCATGATCTCAAAAAAAAGTTATTATAAAATCTGCTAAAATTGATGTCTCCTGAGCTCACATTCAGAGAGGTGCACATTGTAGGTCTCTGTTGTTAACTAAACAAAGTTGTATCTTTTTCCAGAGTGAAATACATGCTCAAAATGTTAAGTTCTATTTTCAAGTGCATGGGGAACCAAACGAAGTGCCTGGTAGAAAAGTGAGCATGCCTGTTGAGAGTTCTCAGGTGAGTTGTCTTTGTGGAATGGTATAATTGTAAACTCTAAGATTTTAATATTTAAAAAATAAAAAAGATTGAATGTACTTTTTACAGGTGTACAAGAGTGAAGAAGTCAACAGAGGCAAATTTAGTGGTTTCTGCAACATGAGTTTTGACTCCGCAGCCATTGCTCAGGCTCATTTTGTAGAAAAGAGCCATGTGCAGAATCCAAAACAATTGCTGGAAGAACATGACAGAGTCTCTCCATCAGGATGCCAACCAAAGATGGGTAAGATTCTCATCATCTCTTTAAAAGATATTTATCTTTCCCCTACATTGTATCATTCCTTTTGGGGAGCAAACTCCCACTACAGTTCAAACAACTTGATTATTTTTCCACTTAGTAAATCACTTTCTGTATTCTTGTCTGTGGAGATTACTGCTAACTAAATTAAAAAAAAAATAATAGTGTCACTATTCAGTTTACTAAATCCACATAAAGCAAATGAGTACTATATGTTATTAATAACAATAAGCATCTAGAGAAACCAAAAATCTTGGCTTTTTAAATTATGTTTCCTCACCTTGTCATAATTTTTTGATGTACATCTTTATCGCATTTGTCCATTCAGATCGTCTTCAGGATAGTATAGTTATATACTCTAGTGTATATACTATATAGTATGCTTATGACCAAAGCTGTAAAAAGCAAACTAAATTGCTGAATCTCCTTCAATCCCAATAATCCATTCTTTTATTTCTATAAATGTGAAGTACCAGTGAATAATTATAGAATGCTAAATCCCAAAGATACAGAGAATTATAGAACATTGCCTCTTCCTTCTAGTAACATTCAAATGAAGAAATGAAAGCACTTCCACTGAATTACCTGAACTGGCAGAGTACATTTTGGAAAATAGCTCATATTTTGAAAAATTTACATGCTACCATAAAAATAATGCTTGATCAGCTGGAATAATTGATCTCGCACATTCTTAAGAGCTTTCACTGTGTCACTAAGGCATTCATTTCTGAAAAAAAAAACCATCAACATTCATGTCCAGCACATCATATAGGTATTTTCCAGAGCAAATTACCTCAGCATATTATTAGAATTTATTTTTTCTAGCTGGGCAGTGGTGGCATGTGACTTTAATCCCTGTACTGGGTAAGCAGAGGCAGGTGAACCTCTGTGAGTTTGAGGCCAGCCTGGTCTACAAGAGCTAGTTCCAGGACAGGCTCCAAAAACTAGAGAGAAACCCTGTAAGAGGAGGGCCCATTTGTTCATCCCAGCCACCCGGATAGCTTAGCCACAAAATAACCACACAGAAATTGTATTCATTAAATCTCTGCTTGGCCCATTAGCTCTAACTTCTTATTAGCTAACTCTTACATCTTAATTTAACCCATTTTTATTAATCTGTGCATTACCACAAGGTTGTGACCTACCAGCAAAGTTCCAGTATGTCTATCTTCAGCACAGATCCATGACGTCTCCCTCTGCCTCTTCTTCCCAGCATTCTATTTAGTTTATCCCGCCTAGCTCTGGTCCCCCTATAGCTCTGCTATAGGCCCAAAGTAGTTCCTTTAATTAACCAGTGAAAGCAACACATAGACAGAAGGACTTCCTACACCATTTCCCATTTTCTGTTTAAACAAAAAGGAAGGCTTTCACTTTAACATAGTAACATTACATATAACAAAACAGGTATTAAATAAGAATTGCAGTTATGATATTTATATCTATCTTTTATTATAACTAATCGAAACTATAACTATCTATTCTTTAACTCATTTAAAGACTCCAGAAGGATATACCATTGCCTAAGTTAACAGGAAGTACATTGTAATCAACTACCAAAACTCTAGAATTGACACATTTCACTGCCTGGACAGTCACCCAAAGTTTTTTTGTACTGTTGAAGCATCCATCTTCAGCCTACAGGCCCATAGTATCCAGCAGACTTTTCCACAAAGCAGGAAATGTTAAAGACAGTTTAATCACTTTCTTTTGTATCCTGCAGAATGTCTCACAGACTCTTTCATGAAGCAGGAACCCCAAAGGATCATCGCACCTTTAGGTAAGTTTAGCAGTCATTTTTCTTTGGTCCTGCACCTGCATGTTCAGTTTAGCAGTTCATGCAAGAGCAGTTCCTTACCCTAATGGCTAACAAACTCCATAAGGAGCCTCTTTGATGCCCATCTTTCTCTTGAAGTAACTGGAGCCACCAGAGATAGGTGTGCTGAAACTTGGCTGGTAGGCCACAATCTTGTGGTGATGCAAAAATTAATAGATATTGGTTAAACTAAGATGTAAGAGTTAGCCAATAAGAAGTTAGAGCTAATGGGCCAAGCAGTGATTTAATGAATACAGTTTCTGCGTTGTTACTTTGGTTCTGGGCGGCCAGGATGAATAAGTGGCCTTCCTCCTACAAAACCCTGTCTTTAAAAACCAAAAGAAGGAAGGAAGGAAGGAAGGAAGGAAGGAAAGAAGGAAGGAAGGAAAGAAGGAAGGAAAGAAGGAAGGAAGAAATTTATTTTTTTCTAGTAAGATACACTATTATTTTTATATTTATTCTAGTCTGTCAGATTATCATATGCTTATTTTCTTATCTGTTGATTAAAAGAGGGACAGAGTCATTGTGCTTTACAAGAGAAACTATTTTGTAAATATCTTACCTATAGCCCCCAAATTCATTTCTTTGGGTTCAAGGAGGAAAGTAATTGAAAGAGATGTACAATAAAACATATAGTTTCAAGTTATTAAATGATGAGAGCTCACTCTGGTGTAAACATGACAAATCAAGACAGAATAGATGAAAAATATCATCTTAGAAGTTCATACCATCTGATTTATCTTGTGAATTGCCAAAGAATAACCTTGAAATAGCTCCCATACTTCTATTGTTTCCATAAATGGAAATGGTCAAACAAAACTGGTTATAAAATATTTCCTCCTTCCCAAGTCTTTGGTTTACAAACTAGGTGACAAAGTAGCATGCACATTTATCTCACAAAAGAGCCTTCATGACTTAATTTCTTTTATCCAGAAGCCCTGTGCTGAGCATGTAGAAAGATAGTAAATTTTTAGAGAATTTCTTTAATACTTTACAATGGATACAATTCTAATATTTGATCAGATGTTAATAATTTTTCATTACAATTATTTCTGCAGATAAACCCAACACTACATCGGCAGCGCCAACCTTCCTAAAATCTGTTATTGTGAAGCCTCCTCCAGGTAGGAATAAGGTCAAAACAACTCCTTTTTTTTCTCTAGCAGTGCTTTGGATCTGGATAATCCAAGCAGATAGTGTAAGCTCTTTCCTGCTTCTTTCAACAATCTACTAATGCTTCACAATATTATATTAGGAGAAAAAAAATGAAGATAGGAAAACATTTATAGCTACATAGCTGAGAAATGTCTACTAGCAAAATCAAATACAAATAACAAACTAGAAAAGTATTCTATACTCTTTCACAGGAATTTTGTATTTTATAAAACATATATACTAATAAACCATTGGATTTTATTAATTAAAGAACTTGTATTCAAGCAATCAATTTCATGTATTTTTATTTGTTTTTCTAGGACATGAGAGCCATAAAGTCTTTTATGTCTCTTAATTTCAAAATCATACATGTGTGTGTCTGTGTGTGTGTTTCCATGTTATTTTAAGAAGTATTTCAAATTAATGTGATACAACGATATTTTTTGGGGTGCTAAACTAGTCATTCTTGGTAGTATAAATAGGAATATACCATTTTTCTGAAGAGGAAATATATAAACTAGTTAATAATGCCTCGTTGCAAAAGAATATGTGTGTATACACATTTTTGTAACATATATTGAACATATTTTGCTAACATGAAATTTCTTGATCCATAGGTTTCTATGATTTTGAGTGATAGAAGTAGAAAGTTTGAAAAATGACTAGATGGCTTAGAGCTAAGAAAGGGTAGCAAAATTTCAGGTACAACATAGAGACTTGCCTTGACTGGAGAAATATATCTGTTCCTCTGTTATATTTCTTATCCCCCCGCCACATACAAACACCTTCTTACTACTAGTGTGTCTTATTGCCCTTTCATAGTTTCTCTTTTACCTTTTCTTCAACACATTATAGTTCACCTGTTCTTACTAGACAGACTTCCATGTGAAAATGTTCATTACTTTTGACCTCTTAAAATTCTGTTCTTTTCATGTACAATTCCTCACAGTCTGGTTCTACTTTATTTCGTTGTTTTGTTTTGTTTGTAAGCTATCTGCATCAGCTCTTTGTGAGTTCAACACCTAGATTTAGGTCCTCACAGGTTCCATTATTGGCCTGACTCTGCAAGCACAATTCTGTGTATTTCCCTGGTTTTAACTGTCATCTGTACTCTCATAGCCTGTCCATCAAACTTAGACTACCTGTCAAAATTGGAGATAGTATTGCAGTTGGATACCTCAAAGCCATTTTAAATCAACACTCTTCCAAAATAAAAACCTATAGCTAACTGTCAGCTCCCCAATACCACACCATTAAATCTAATGAAATGCCAAGTTTTGATGGTTTTACCTCCTGAATTATTACTGTCCCCCTAACTCTATCCACACCATTCCTACACTACTATGGGTCTTTATATATTCCTAGAGCTTTGTTAGTCAGACTGTGAGATATTGACAAGAATTGTTGGTATCATTTGAGAGCTTATTAGAAAATAGAATTCAGCCCTTTTTATAGACCTACTTATTCAGAATTCACTTCTTTAACAAGACCTCTAAATGATTTATATGTAAGAAACTTGAAGACACAGAGTATCATAGCCTTCTAAGTACTTTTTCTGCCACTGGCTTTATTTCCACAAATGCACTCTCAATTCAATTACTGGAGTGTTTCCTTCAAAACACAAATTTTTCCATGATACTGTCCAACTTGAAATTTCTTCACTGCTTTTCCAACTTCTAAAGATGAAATCTAAATGCCCTAGCCTTCTCCTTCTTTTCCTTCCTCTTCATGCTTGTCTTCTGCTACTGACATGCTCTTAGCTATGCAGGTCAATACCTGCAAGTTGTATGGCTTCCAAAACCATTACCTTACTTCTTTTATTTGTACTTTTCCTTATACCCCTCCTCCCTTGTTGCCTGAAATACTTCGATAACCTGCTTCTGACTAATTCATACTCATTCTTAAACATTCTGCTGCTACCTGGAAGCCTTTTTGCTTCCTTTAAGGCTACCTACCCTTCTGTGTATCTACTTTTCTCTCTAAGTGCTTTTTCTCCCATTTCAGCTTAAGGTTTTTAAGGGAGGAAATGTCATGTAATTCATTTCTATTTCCAATGATAGAAAAAAGAACAAGCATAAAACTATTTATTCCTACCTCCATAGAGATTAGTTTAATATATTAGTCAGTGAACTATTAATGAATCTTTCTCTCAAATGTTGTCCCTTTGTTTGTACTATTTCAGTTTCCTATATAGTGTGGTCAAAGTGCTAAAACCTTTTTTGGGGATATGTAGTTTTACCCACTATTTTAAAGAATTTGAGTTAAGTAAGCATAAAAGTAAAAGTGGCAGTTTACTTTAAATGTCTGAAGAAATGATGAATTGCCAGTTGTTAGGTATTTTTCCTACTGGTGAGTTGAAAGGCTCTGAAATGTGTGGCTTCTGTATAAATTTGAACTGAGTCTAAATGAGAGGTGTTTGACTGTTGCTGCTGCTGTGTGAGACAGTATTTTAGCACTCTGAAATGTCAAGATTAGTAGAATGAGAGAAGAATGTTTGCTTTCTGTTAAAAAAAAAACACTGTGACCAAAAGCAACTTTGGAAAGAAAGGGTTTATTTTAGCTTACCACTTATAGTCAACTATGGAGGGAATTCAAGGCAGGAATCTGGAGGCAATAACTGAAGCAGAGACCATAAAGGATCTTTGATTACTGGCTTGATACCACCATGGCTGGCTCAGTCTGCTTTCTTAAATAAATAGCACCATTTGCTCAGGGGTGGCACTGTCCACAATGAGCTGGGCCCTTCCACATCAATCATGAATCAGGAAAGTTCTCCACACACTTGCCACAGTCCAACCTGATCAGTTTTTTAAAATTGAGGCTCCGTCATCCCAGATGACCCTAGCTTGTGTCAAGTTGACAAAAATCTTGCCAGCAAAAAGAATTTTGGTGTTCATATCTGATCATGAAATAGTGTCAGTAAAATTCAATCTATTTATTGAAATCATTTTACACTAATCTCTGAAGCTACTGCTCAGAGAATAAACATATCCTGTCATAACTCCTGTCTTGCAAGCCAAAAACATTAGAACATTATGAAAACATCTAGTTTACCTAGACATGGTGGTACATGCCTATAATGTCAGTACTCAGGAGGGAGAAGAAGGAAGATTACTGTATACTATATGTTTGAGGCAAGTCAGGACTACATAGTGAGTTCCAGGCAAGCAAGGGATACATAGCAAAACCCTTTCTCAAACAACAACAAAAAGACATATCTAGAAAAATTAAATTAGCTAATGAGAATTTCAGAGAACACTGACAACAGAATTCCATGTTACAAGTGAACCAGTTTTAAGAAAAAGGCAATTATGGTGATGTAGAGATAGCTCAGAAGCTAAGAGCCCTGGGTGCTCTTGCAGAGGATCTGAGTTCAAGTCCCAGCATTTACATTGCAGCTGATGACCATCTCTATTTCCAACACCCTCTTCTGGCCTCCATGGGTACTGCATATACATGTTACATAGACATACATGTAGGCAAAACACATAAAATTTCAAAAAAGGCAACTTAACACCATGTGCCACTTTAATTATTCCACTATTTTCATTTTCTTATTTCTATCTATCTTTGCCTCTGTTTATCTTCTATAATGTGCATGTTTTTCCATATTTGATTTTTTCTTCCTCATTATCACTGCTTGCTTAAGTCCCTATCTAGCTCAGCTCAGGATTGATAAGACTAAGGCTAAAGTATGTATATATTTTTAAATGTTGTGTTTGTTTTAGTTATCTTACTAATTTTAGTTATCTAAATTTAGATAAGTTATCGCACTTATCTAAAATTAAGTTAATAATTTCTAAATTCAACTTAAATTGCAAAACTTTTGTTCTTGATAGTATCACTATTAGACATCTACACTTGAATCTCTATACTTAATTCCCTATATTCTTTCTATAAGTGAGTATCATCAAATCTTCTATTACACCTTTTTCTACTTTCCTTAGATTTCCATTGCTAACTCTTCACATGTTAACACTATTGGAACCATCAGTATAAGGCTTTATGTTAATTAAAAATTAAAATAAGGCTTGTTAAAAGGTGCAAACAAGCCTGAGTTTCCATGTGAACTTAGAAACGATTGTAGCAGGTGTATAGCAGAACTAAACAGGCCTAAGAGCAGTCTCTGAGATAAGAGAGTGGAGAGTGTAAGAAACAGTAGGGATGGGTTAGAAGATTAGGCCAGGGTCCTACAAGATAGCTCATCAAGTGTTGAAATAATGAGCGGCCGGCTGCGTCCCAAGCACCCCGGCTGCCTTGCTAGCTTATGCCCGAAATAACAACACACAAACTGTATACATTTAAAGACTGCTTGGCCCATTTCTATCTAGCCTCTTCTAGGCTAATTCTCACATATTAATTTAGCCCATTTCTAATAATGTGTGTAAGCACCCCAAGGTGCGCTTACCGGGAAGATTCTAGCCTACATCCATCCTGGGTCGGAGCTGCCTGGGAGAGTGGAGCCTGGCGTCTCTGCTCCAGAGAGCAGAGCTGTCAAGTCTGAGCTCACTTCCTCTTCCTCCCAGCATCCTATTCTGTTTACTCCTCCACCTATGTTTTAACCTATCAGGGCCAAGGAGTTTCTTTATTGCTTAACCAATGAAATCAACAGATTGATATGATACTCCCACATTAATTCAAGCATAGGATCTGGGTGCTAAGTCTAGCAATCTGAGTTCAGTCCCTGGAACCACATGATTGAATTAGAGAACTAACTCCACCAAGTTGCCCTCTGGCCTCCACATGAACAACATGGCACATGATTGAGAATATAATATACAAATCATATGTGTGCATATGCAAAATAGACTTTAAAATAATTTTAAAATATTGGGCCTAGAATTCTGATAACTGGGACAGTGAATAGGTTTCCTGTCTATACAAAAATGATTTACATATTTTTACTTATTATATCTGAGTTATCCATATTCTAGAAAGTGGTAGTGTCAACATGTAGAAAATCCAAGAGTTAAGGTAATGGTAATCACACCACAGTTCTGGAACTGCCTCTAAACCCTTTGCATGTGACAGAAACCCTTTTAATTCCTATATTTCCACTATTAGAGCATGAATATATGAAAAGCCAAGGGCTAAGTTAACATGAACATTTTCCACATAACTCTAATGTATAACCAGATTTGAAACCCACAAATTAGAGAAACCCAGGAGTCTTGTTCATCATGTATCACTTAGGTACACCCTCTATATATGTTGTTAATGAAGGCCATTTCTGGTTTGGTTTTCACATCTATAAAATAAATATAGCAATAATTTCCTGAAAAGCCTTGCTTTGGAGACCCACAGTTTCTCATTGAGTAGTTTGTTTTGTAGGACATCCATCGTCTTCAGCTAATAATCTTTAAACTAGGGACTCACAAACTTGAAAGAGGCCAATAGATAACTAAAGAATTATAAAAATATTTAATCCAGGATATTTCTCACAGTGTCTCTGATAATCCATTTTCAGTATTAGTTTTCAAAACTAATTCCCAATTCCAATATAGAAACTGAACTCTATTCTCCAGGAAAGAATTCTAGGATTCTATGCCTAATGCTCCGGGTGGTTTTTACCAGAGAAATTGGTGTATTTCATGTTAGTGAACTGTCATTCTAGTCTTCATTTATAATAATAGGATATATTATTTCCAGGTCTTGAGGTTTTTTGAATGTCTTTGAATACATACTATATTTTTCCTGGTTTCAAAGAATATAGGAAATCAAATTAGAAACAGAAAGTTTAATCGGCATAAAATAAGAGCATAGAGACAGAAGATAATTTTTAAAGAATCATTCATTCAAAGTTTTCAAAAACACAAAAAAAATTAAAGCTGTGGGTATTTGTGGGAGTATCATATGTTTGATACAGATATACTTATATATAAGACAAGTGAAGCCAGGTGGTTTTGGTGCAGGCCTTTTAATCCCAGCACTCAGAAGGCAGAGGCAAGTGAATCTCTGTGAGTTCAACGTCAGCCTGATCTACAAGAGCTAATTCTAGGAGAGGCTCCAAAGCTACATAGAAACCCTGTCTCAAAAAAAACAAAATAAATAAATAAATTGACAAGTGAATAATAATAATAAGACAAGTTAAACACATTTATAACTTAAAACATTTATGATTTTGTATTGAAATTTTTCAAAATCCATTTCCTTGCTTTTTGAAATATATAGGCTGTAATTGTTATCTATAATCATCATACAGTGGACTAACACCCAGAGCTTCTTGCCACCATCTCACTGTTAACAGTGCACATTTACCTACCTGTATATGTGCTTTCCTTGCTTCCTATTCTTCTTGGCCTTGGTGATGACCATTCTAATCTAAACTTCTATTATATTAAGTGTTTTAGATTTAGCATAGGCGGAAGGTTACATAGTTGTAGTGATATGCTGCGGGCAGGCCTGCTTTTCATCCTGCCCAGCTTCTGCATGGCTAGCTTAGCCCCGGAAATAACAACACACAAATTATATTCATTTACACACTTCCTGGCCCATTAGTTCCAGCCTCTTATTGGCTAATTCTCACATCTTGATTATCCCATTTCTAATAATCTGTGTAGCACCACGAGGTGGTGGCTTACTGGGAAAGATTCAGCATGTCTGACCTGATGGCTGGCTCCATGGTGTCTGCCCTGGAGAGGAGAGGCATGGTGTCTGATCTCACTTCCCTTCTTCTCAGCATTCTGTTCTGTCTACTCCGCCTATCTAAGCTGCTTTCCTATCAAAGGCCAAGGCAGTCTCTTTATTAACCAGTGAAAGTAACACATAGACAGATGACCCTCCCACATCACATAGTACTTTTCATGACGGCTTATATCACCTAAAATAGTTACATTCAGTTCCATGTATGTTGTCACAAGAGATAGGTTTTCAGTATTTTTTCATGACAAAATAACATTTCAATGTGTGTACTATGTTTTATCCATTCAATAATTTGGGACCACTTGAATTGTTTCATTTCTTGCCTATTGTGAATAATGTAATAAACTAAACATAGGAATGTATACTTTTCTTACATATTGATTTCAGTTTCTTTGGATATACATTAAAATTGCATTTACAAGAACATATGGTAATTATTTTCTTATTTGATAAGTGGCTTCCATACTTTAAATGGCTATTCTATTTTAGGTTTCCATCAACATTTTCTCCACATCCTCATCAGCATTTCCTATCCTTAGGGTTTTTTGTTTTATATTAGCAATTGTTCTTCAGGTATGATGGCATCTCCTTGTTCTTTCAGTTTGCAATTACCTGGTGATTAGTGATATTTTGTATTTTCCATTTACTTATTGAACATTTTGGATGTCTCCTTCCGAGAAATGACCTAAGGTTTTATTTTGTTATTAAGGTTTTGGTTCCTCAATATATATTTCTTTATATATTCTAGATATCAATTGCTTGTTGTTATACACAAACCACAAATTTTATCCCATTTATAGATTGTCTGTTGATTGTGTTATGTGTTTCCTTTGTCCTGTAGCAACTTTAACATTTTTTAAAATCCTATTTGTCTTTATTTGCATTTGCTTCCTGAATTTTGAGAGTCACTTCCAAAAATTCCTTACATATTACAGTATCCTGAAACATTTTACCTGAATTTTCTTCTAGGAATTTTATAGCTATCAGTGTTTCTGTTGTTTAGTTTTGAGATTGTATTTTAGCTGCAGCTTTTATTCCTTCCCTTTGCTCCCTCAAAGTTCTCCTGTACATTCCTTCCCACTCTCCTTGAATCTTTTTTTCATCAATTGTTATTACCTGCATGCTCCTGTTTGCCCCTATACCACTCTTATGCTTAAACTCTTTAGTCCATTTTGAGTCGATCAGTGTAACTGATGAGATACAAAAGTCTACCTACATTTATATGTAACTAATTTTCCTAACACTGTTTTTTGAAAAACTGTTTTCTGTCTAAAGGATGTTCTGAGTGTCCTTATCAAAACGTTCATTCAAATTTTAATGTAACCTGTTGATTGCTGGTCATTAACAATATGTATTAATAATGAACATGTTATTCAATGTCTTTATTTTATTCTTCCCTGCAAGTAGTCTCTTGTTTCTGTAAATAATGTTTGTTCAACAAAGGTCAATACACTTAAATATGATTAACTTATCCTCCTTTAAGTGATTAAACTGCTGTTTGATTTACAAGAAGATGATTCTGGTTGTCCTTAAATTTTATATGGTACCAATTTATTGCCTTGTCTCTAGAATAATGTCGATTTTATACTTGTCTCATGAAAGTTGTTCTGCTGACCAACAAGAAAGTTGAAAGATGGTGGGATTTCGAAAATAAGTTTATCTCCTGCTTCTAATTATCTTTTGAAAGCAGACTAGTTAGCTGTTATATACCTTTGTTTTATAATTTGTTTGTTTTGAAAGGTTTTCTGTTTTGGTTTTGTGTTTTTGTCAGGTTTTTGTTTGTTTTTTATTCATTTTAAATGGCAGCTATAATTTTAGAATTTTGCTTTCACCTTTCATCCTATGCATGGGTTCAATGGTTCTCTTTTGTAATTTGTGGAAATTATTTTTGGTAACTAGTGAACTACAATGATTTCAAATAAGAGAGTAAAATTTTCCTATGTTTTTAATTAATGTTTTGTGATATTTCAGGGTTTGGTTTTGTAAGAAACTAACTAATAGCAAACAAAAAGGCTGTTGCAGACCAATAAAGCCCCTGCTATACAGTGTGTGTAGCAACATCAGGCAAGCAGATAGCAGATTCTTAGGAAATAAATGAAGATTCAGTGTATAGTATAAGGAATCCTGGGCATTAAATTTAGAGACATGGGCTAAAAGATGCTAATGCTATTCTTTGCTTCTGTGACTATCAGCAAGTGACTTTATGTCTTTGGACCAGTCTTTCTTAGGATATTTCAAGTAGAGGGTCTCTAATAAAGTATTATCCATCACTGGCATTATATGATTCTAAGTGTTTCCATATTGATCTTCTTAAACTCTATCACTTTTATAGCATATAGAATGAGAACCTACGTATGCCATATCTGCAGTATCACCTTTACATCTTTACACATGTTCCGGTCCCACATGCAAGGAAGTGAACATCAAATTAAGTAAGTTTTTTTTTGCTATTAAAAAATATTGTCATGTTACCAAAGACCAAATCTTCTAGTCAAATAATCTTTAATGTATTTTACAAACCTTCTAGATATTCATTTCCCCATGATCTGAATCTAGAGGAAGTAGACAGTATTTGTAACGTATTGCACACTAGTGTCAAGGACACTTTCTAATCACAATAATGCACTGGCAAATTGGTACACCCTCATGAATAGACAACATTGTTTTTCTTTGTAGATGTGCTAAAAAAATAAGTTTTTCAGGTTAGCCATGCAAATTCAAGGCATCTTAAAAAGGTTTTCTTAATTCCAAGGATTCGGTGATCTAATATTCATCTTTACAGTGAGGTATAATAGTTCAGAACAAAGGTCATGCTGTTGTACCTAAAATACAGAATCCAGATCTGTTTTTAGCAATATTAATATTTGCTTTTAAGACAAGGAGAAATTTGTGGCATTGTACAGTAGGTAATTTTGGTAGCAGGGCAAGGAGTTATTTATGTTTTGGTTGTTGATTTTTAAATCAAAATATAAGATTTATTATTTTACCCTATAAGAACATATTTATAGTATTTGTGATTACTTAGAGGTATCTTAGTTACTTTTCTATTGCTATGATACAATTATCAAAGGCAACTTATAAAAGAAAGCACTTAATTGGGATTAACAGTTTCGGAGGGATAAGAAACATGATGATGAAGCAAAGACCTGGTGCCAGGAACAGCTGAGAGCTCACATCTTGATACATAATCAGGAGGCAGAGAAAGAAAGAACACTGAGAATGGCCAGTGTCTTTGGAAACCTTAAATTATGCCCCCCCCAGTGATATACCTCTTCCAACAAGGCCACACCTCCTAATCCTTTCCAAACAATTACAAATATTCAAGCATGAACCTATGGGGGACATTCTTATTCAAACTACCACAGGAATTATATTGCAGACTCAGCAAATAAAACTACACTATAGATATTAAAACCTCAGAATTTTAAATCTATAACCTTTCACATCTGTGCATCTAATCAAAGAACTGGCTTTAAAAATGTGACATTCAGACAGTTTATAAGGACATTAGTTATTAATGTTAATTAGCCACACATACTAGCATGCATTAATATTTGTGGTATTACAGTAGAATGAGATCATTTCACTCCTATGTTCATCCTCTATTTTATCCCAGGCCTGAAAATTTATTACCACATTTCATATGCAAAATAATTGCTTTTATTGTGATATTTCCACATATTTATAAACCACACTTGGGTCATATTCATTCTCCCAATTATGCTGATGTCCTCCCTCTTCCCTAGTGGCTTACTATGATGGGAATTTCTAAAAATATCAAGATCCCATAGATGAAAGAAAAACAGTCATTACTTGTCCTTCTGGACCTAGGATGGTTCACTTAACACCGTGATCTCCATGTCTATCCTTTATTTTAACAAACAATATGATTTTTATTTTCCTTTCTTATTAAATATTAAGTATTTTTTTGAGAGTCACAACATATTCTATATCTGTTGGTGGTCCCCTAAACTATTGTGTAACTTAACTATTGTGAATGGTATTGCATTAAGTATTGCTGTTTAGCCATCTCTCTTCTAAGCAACCTAGGATTCTTTTGGATATATGTCTGGGAGTAATATAGTTGGATCTTATGGAAGTTATACATTTATTTTTGAGTAACTTCCATATAGATTTCTGTAATGGCTGCACTAATTTATATTCCCACTAAAATGTATATTCATTTTTTCTGCATTCTCATTTTGTCTTGCATTTTTCTTCTTTAATAAGTAGACTTTGTTCTTTAATAATTTTGTACATGTACACTATGTATTCTTTTTACTCTTTCAATCTCTCCTGTTGTCCCCTCCCACACACACATCCTACTAGCCTCCTTCACTATAAATCTCTTCCCCATGTGTACTAGCTTTGGTTCTTTTTAGCATTTCACAAAGTTTATTTAGAGCTTTCTGTGTGATCTTGAGCGCAGAACCAACCATCAGAACCTTTTGGGATCACCACTGGGTACACGTTTAGATACTATGCTTGCCCCTCTCCAAGAAGCTGTGGTTGACAGTAGATCAACAGTATGTGGTAGGGCCTCATGAATCCTTTTTCTCTTCATAACTGACTGATAGGAGGGCCCGACTTCTGTGGACCTGGTTACAGTATACACAGCTGCTGTAAGTTCATGGTTGTCACTTCTATGTTGTGCTTTAAAGATATAATTTCTAACCCCTCTCCCCATTTGCCAGAACATAATATTCTTTCTGACCCATCTTCCCCAGCATTCCTTGAATATTAAGCAGGTGGTATAAATGTCTAGTCTAGGACTAAGCCTTTATTCTCAGCATCTTATGCAGTCATGGGTCTCTGTATTTATCTGCAAAGGAGAGGATGCTCTGTTCAAGGCAGAGAATAGTCTTTGTATGTGAGTATAAACAGACATTTAGAGGATGGTTTGATGTTGCCAATTTAGCTAAACAATAATCTTACCATCCCTTCCCAGGGTCTAAGACCTCTTTGGTCATGATTTTTTGAGCAGGTATACAGCAGTAGGCATGGATTCCCTCTTATGAAGCAAGCTCCAAATCCATTTAGGAAGCAGCTTTTCTCTTCTCTCTAATGTTTTCCTGGCAATTCCAGAAGCTGTTGAAAAGAATGTGTATTGTGCAACTGTTGAATCAAATACTGTATGCTTAGACCATTTGATTTATGGTGCAGTTTAACTCTAAAGTCTCTTTGTTGATCTTTTTAACCTGAACACTGTATATATTCATGACTCGGATGGACAGTCTGGATTTTGAAGATATTAAAATGCATGTATTTATACATCCAGAAGTAAGGCTGGACAACAGGACAACTTTTAAGATAATTCTTCATTTCAACAGCAATGAGTTAAGCTGAGAAATACAGGAGACTTCTTTGGGGCCAGATTACTAATAGATCACATAAGTCTCCTATCTAAGACTGTATTTTTGTAAGGTGATAGTTTCTGTACTTTGAAACTCACCAAGAGTTTCCTTCTCTCTTCTGCTAAGAGCCCCACTGAGGGGCATCTTCCTTGTCCATAGTTTATTACTGTGCACTTGTTTATGGTTTTCCATTTAAATCTCTTACAGTTCAAACATTTGGTGTTCCTGTACTTCACTTTGTTATTGTCTGCTCTTGCATTCTGGTATCTTTCCACAGCATTCCATCTCCCTGCAGCTCTTCATCTATGATTTTATTTCAATATCATTTAGAAAATGAAAGTATCAGTGTCTCCCATATACCATCTTCTAAGAAATGTTTTTGCATAAAACTTGTGGAATTCTGGAGAGATATCTACCTATCCATGCTATGATTTGAGCATCAAAATTCTTTTTATAGTTTTAGATTTGTATTCAACCTTTATAGATTTTATTTAAACTAATATTTTAGAGAAAATAAAATATTCATAGTAATCAAAACTGTATTATTTTCTTTGTAGAGAATCTCATGTTATCAACCAAGTAAAGAATTCAAAGAAGATACAGGAGTCTTACCAAGGTGAATGTGCAGATTATTACAAAGTGAAAAAACCTAGAGAGCTAGAGTATAAGGTTCATTTCAGGAAGATGGAGGATAATTACTTGGAAGTCCGTGGATACAGAGAAATGGTTGATTCCAGACCCAGACAAAAAATGCTTGAACAACAACTTCCATTTGAAAATTTTTGGACACAGCCAGGACCATACAATAATCCTCGAGCAGTAGAAGACCAGTTACCTCATTGTTTACCAGCACAGTCAAAAACATATGACTCTTTCCAGGATGAGCTTGAAGATTACATCAAAGAACAGAAGGCCAGAGGACTTGATCCCAATATTAGTTTTAGACGGGTGACAGAAAACTATAAGTATAGGGATCATGGTTACAGAGAAAGGGTTGATTCTGAACACAGACAAAGGATGTGTGAGGAAAGATTTTCATTTGAGAGTCCACAGACATACCAGCGACAATACAGTGGCTCACCAGTGGAAGGCCAGTTACCTCACTGGTTACCACCTCATTCAAAGAGGAGAAATGATGATTTCCCAAATGAATTTGATGATTATAGCAAGGTGCAGGAATCTAGAGAACTCAAGCCAAAGATGTCTTTTAGAAGAATTGATAGTGCTTTTGAAACTCATGATTACAGAGAAATGGTTGACAGAAGATCTAAGCACAGAATGTTTGAGCAAAGATTCCCGTGTGAGACTTTCCAGACTCACACAGATCCATACAGCAGTTCACAAGCTGTGGAATATAAGTTACCTCATTATTTACCAGCTTATGAGAGCCAACGGAACCCAGACTCTGATAGTTACTATCAGTTCACAAGAGATTGCTTCTCAGAAAAACCTGGTCCTCTGAGCCTTAGTCAGCAAGAAAATAACCCTGGCTCACACAGTGTAGAATATGACATTTACAAGGACCTGCCTTCATATGACAATACCAGTGCCCATGAAACAAGTCATAAAAGACGACATCAGAAGAAAAGACGACATCTGGGGGAAGAGAAAGAAAGGCCAGAGAAAGAACAGTCCAAGCATAAAAGGAAAAGGAGCTATCAGGATAAAGATTTAGACAAAAACAAGAACATTGAGCAAACTAAAGGAGAGGTAGATAAAGCTGGAGTCAGTTCTGAAAAACTGAAGCATCGAAAAAAGAAAAGAAAACATGAAGTGTCCTCAGAGAAAGAAGAACGTAAGCACAAGAAAAAGAAATTTGTTGAAGAAAGAACAGAAGAGGAAATCCTTTGGGATGAGTCAATTCTTGGGTTCTGAACTTACAAGATACCCAAGAATGGCTAAAAGAAAGCAATATTGATTTAGATAAAGATAGGAGTGACTGGTGAAGTTAAGGAAAGGCAGGTAGAGTATCAGCTCAAAAACCTTGAGGCTTTTTTGTTTGCAAAAATGAATATGAGAAAAGAAACACAAAATATCTAAATCCATCCTTTAAGAAAATGTTTTAAGGTAAACCTACTCAAGAATTTTGAACTTTTAGTTTTACTATCAGAAGACTGAATCAAGAATATCACTGGGAAAAGTTCTGAGAAAATTGAGATAAAGCACTTCAAATGAAGAGAAGAGATAAAACTCTCTCTTCCTCCCTCTCTCTCTCTTTCCCTTTCCTTCTCCCCCTCTCTCTATGTGTGTATGTGTCCTCTGTTCTGCTTTCCTCTCTCACCTTCCCCCTCTCTCTATGTCACTCCCTCCTTTCAAAATGTAATTGAAAGTAGAACCATAAAGTCTAAACCTAGCATTCAATAAGCAAGAACAAAATACTAAAAAGAATGGGAGAGGAAGAAACCTACTGAAGAAAATCCAGAAGATTCAGTGCTTTCTCCTTTGCAGTTTTGTTCCCTTAAGGTTGAAGAAAGGTTTAAAACTTTGTTTTTTTTTTTTTTGAAATTTGTGTTATTTGTGTATTTGTACATGTGTACAGTTAATTGCTAACAGAAGCCAGTTAAAGTCAAAATATTCAATATGCTTTTTAAAGTTACTTTCTCTGATTTTATAAGAAAGAAAAATTATTCTATTGCTTATATATAATATGGTTTTCTTAAGTAGAGGTGTTTCTACTTTGTCCTTCAAGTTGCAATGAAAATGACTTGTTTGCTCATGGAAACTATGTACCTAAACAGTGAGTTACAAAGCAGTCTACAGCCATACCACCCTGAATTTTCCAAGTCTTGTTTGGTTTTGGAAGAATGGTCAGGCCTGAGGGAGACCAGACTTCTCAGAATCCAATCCTTTTAGAATTTGTGTTAGTATTGGTGGTATTTTGCTACTGTTGTGTGTTAATGTTTATGTTTTCTCCAATGAAAATGTATGAATCAACTTAGCCCTTTTTTGTTAAATCTAATTTGCAGTGTATTTTGTATTTTCTAGTTCTGAAAGTGGAAAATTAGTGTATAATAAATTAGATGATATATACTTTTAAAATGTTCTCCAAAGGGCTGATAAAAATCGGTCTATATTCTGAAAAATGTTTATATTAAAGTGTTTTAATTTCTAAATACATCTTTGTGATTGTTTCCATCAAAAGATTCTATCCATGTGAGGTACAAGAAATGGAGTTTGCAACTAATTTCTAGGAAGACCACACAGTAAGGCTATAATTTGATTTATTCTACAGACTGCTTTATAGAAGTTAGCATTGTTTCGAGTTTAACTTTAGGTTAGAAAAAGATCTTCAACTTGAAAGTGAAGGAGAAAAACATTATAAATGCTTAAGAACTATGGGGATTTGTTAACTTTAAATTATTTAATTTTATTTTTTTCTGATAGTGCACTATGTTTTATGATAAGTACTTTCTGTACAAACTTGAACATTATTATGCTATAGTAGGAAGTATAAAAACCTAAGATTTCCAAATCCCAGGATTATGATCTTAGTAGTGCCATCAAGTTGCTATGGCATTTTGCAAAGATACCACCAGATTCCAGTATGCAGTCCCATGACAGAAAAACTAAAATACAGTAAGCCCTGTATATGCCAATCTTGTCAAAAATCATGGCAAATGTGATGGTGATATATCTGAATCTGAGAAAATGATTTTATATTTTTTCTGAGGTTTGAATTAACAAGTAGATACTAGAACATAATGATGATTGGTTTTATTCTAAGATGAGTGAACTATTCCAAAGAATGTTAGGTTGTCATAAAATCATTTCTCTTCCATGAGACTTTTAATATAAGATAAATATATATCAGTGTGTTAATGCTCTCTTTAAAGAAGCATTTGATGTACTGATGAAAAAATAGTAAGACAGGTAGAAAAGGTAGATTGTAAACTACAATATTGACAATTTTCTTTTGATCACACACACATTGTATTCACAGAAAATGTTAGAAATCAATTGAATTGATAGAATTTTTAGAATTGGTAGATTCTTTTCTGAATATCCATTTTGTGCTCAAATCTGTTGGAGACCATTTCAAACTAACATATTTTGTGAGTGAACTGGGGTCGGGGGCAGATGAAAACAGGAGGGATCAGGTGGGGTGGAGGGAGAGAGTATTGGGAGAGACAACTGGAGTTGGGGTGAATTTGGGAGGTCATGTGGAAACCTAGTGAAGTAGAAACTCCCAGGATTTTATGAGGAAGACTGTAATGAGGACTTCTAGTAATGAAGGATACAGAGCCTGAATCAGCTATCTTATATAGCCAGGCAAGGCTTCCAGCAGTAGGACTGGGACACCAGTTCAGCCACAAAACCTTCAGCCTATAATCAGTCCTGCTTGCAAGATGTGCCAGTGTAATGGTGGTACAGAACTCCACAAGAGAGTGACCAAATAATGACTGGTCAAACCTGAGGCCCATGCCACAAGAGAGAATCCATGTCTGATATTGCCTGGATGACCAGAAATCAGAGGCCAGACATCCGAGAGACCCAGGGCAGAACCAAATATGACCGGGGAAAAATCAAAGGAATTATTACTAATGCTATTCTGTTATACTCGTTGATTGGTGCCTAACTCTCTGTGAGTTCAAGGCCAGCTTGGTCTACAGAGTGAGCTCCAGGACAACCAAGGTTACACAGAGAAACCCCGTCTCAAAAAAAAAAAAAAAAAAAACACAAGATGGGACCCCAACTTTCCAGGTAAAACATGGTAGCTAAACTGGAACTCCCCAAGATATCCTGTAACTCTCATATTCTACCTTTTAATATGTTAATTCAACAGAAAAAAAATAACTCATTCCTGTGGCCAAGGCAGCATTAAGACCATCAAAAAAAAAAAAAACCCACTTGGACTCTGTGACTATTTTAGGTTACAAAGAAAAAATGAAATTAATGTTACTAATCAGGAATTTAAACAGGACAATTATCCTGGATTACTGGGTAGACTCTATGTTTATAAAGATCCTGAAATGGAAGAAGGTGAAAGACAGGATTGGTATGGAATGCATTTTGAGAAAGATTTCAGTAACCACTTCAGAGGCAAAAGGCCACAGGCCAAATGACATGGCAGCCTCCAGATAATGAGACAATTGACACTTTATAATTGTTTGTCCTCCCTGTTTTGGTTAAGTGCCACCTCCCTGGCTGCAGGGCAAGGATCATCAGTACCATAACTTATTTTATGTATTTATGTATTTATGTATTTATTTATTTATTTATTTATTTATTTATTTATTTATTTACCTAAGAAGGCTGAACTTAGGTAGTGGGTCTTTAATCTCAACACTCAGAAGGTAGAGACAGGTGGGTTTCTGTGAATTTGAGACCAGCCTGGTAGAGAAAGTGAAAACCTGCTCCCCCTGCCCCCGAAAAAAGCTTAACCTTGTTGCAGGGTACAATGCAAAGACCATTCACCACAACCAAAATCCAAATTGAGAATCACGTCTCACAGAAAAGCCTTAAATGCATTTTACAGAGAGCTTTTAAAGGCAAAGAACACAGAAAAACTATATCCTGCTTGACAGTTTCAGGGAGAAGTAAGGCAATCAAGCAGTTTAACAGAAGTTAAACAGATGCCATTAGCTGGGGTATTTTGTTCCCGAGTTTCTAGAACAGAGTTGAGTACTTTCCCACAGGACTTTTCATGGTGAGGGTAGAAAAGAGGGTGACAGTTTTCAGGTTAAATTAAAGATTGTGGCAGCTGAGACAAGATGGACGAATCTTTGCCACTGGTCTTAGTGAAAGTATCAAATTGTAGACTCATTCTGCTCTAAAGAGATGTATGGTCCTGAGTGTAATGTTCTGTCTCTTTAAGAGACAAGCCACGCCCACTCCCTTCCTGCTTGCACCCTTAGCCTCTCTCTCTCTTTTTGTCCCTCTCTTGGAGAGGCAGCTTCTGACTCTCCTCTCTCCCCCCTTTCTCTCTCTCCCCTCTTCTCCCCTTTTCTCTTCCCCTCCATAACCCTCCTAATAAATATCCAACTTTACTCTACATGGTATGCCTATCCATCTCTCTTGCCCACCACCTGCCATATGGAAACATGGAGACCTACCATGTGGTCTCATGCACCGTCCCTGTTTGGGACTGGCTGCTTTCTGGACCCCGCAGTAAACTGTCGGGGACATGCAGCCTGCTTGGTACTGGCTGCTTTTAGGACCCGGAGACTGGCAGCAAATCCATTACACTGAGGACCATAAATTTTACTGAATTAATCCTTTATTTTGCATAATTAGTCATACAATTAAAGATGCAGGGCCTCATCTTTAATGCAACAAAATGATAATTAAAGGCCAGTCATTATTGACAGCAGAGCAGTTAGCCAGAGAGACTAAGAGAAGATAGACTGGTACCAATTATCTTATCCATATCTCCTCTCTTCTTCTTCTTCTTCTTCTTCTTCTTCTTCTTCTTCTTCTTCTTCTTCTTCTTCTTCTTCTTCTTCTTCCTCTTCCTCCTCCTCCTCCTCCTCCTNTCTCTCTCTCTCTCTCTCTCTCTCTCTCTCTCTCTCTCTCTCTCTATCTCTCTCTCCCTTCCTCTCTCTCTCTCTCAGGATCTTCCAATGATGGCAAGATTTTTCTCTAATTACTCCTGATTGATTTGCATAGAAACAACCCATTTCTCACAAAGTCATACTTAGTCCCCCTTGTCTCAATTTTGTTTGATCATTTCTGCAAGGGAATCTAACTGTTGTTTTAATTCAGAAATGAAAATGAAAATTCAGAAATGAAAAATACCTCTAGTTCCTAATCGGCCTATTTCCTCCTACTTAGTTTCTTTTTATTTCTTTTTTCTTTTCCTTTTTTCTTTTTTGTATTTTTGTTTGTTTGTTTTTCAAGACAGGATTTCTCTGTGTAACATCCCTGGCTGTCCTGGAACTTGCTCCAGGCTGCCCTTGAAATGAAGATCTACCTGCCTCTGCTTCCCAAGTGCTGGGATTAAAGGCATAAACCACCACTGCTTGGCTTCATTTTTTAACATTTTAATCTTCCACGGTATAGGCTGGTATGCCTGTAACTAGCTAGCTATTAAGCTGGCTAAGCCAGGTTCGACCAGGAATAAGATGAGGACTTTTTTTTTGTAGTTCAGACTCCATATTGCAATGTATTTTCCATTCTTCTCCATTATATAGGTATAGCTTGGGAGGAATGTGTACTAAGACACATAAAAGGGCTCAGTGTCTTAGTCAGTGTTCTATTTTTGTGTATAGACATTGTGGCCAAGGCAACTCTTGTAAAAGAAAAAAATTAATTGGAGGCTTGTTTACATTTTCAATTATTTAGTCATTATCATCATGGTGGAGAGCATGGTAGGATGCAGACAGTCACAGGAGCAGTAGTTGAGAGCTACATCCTGATCCATAGGCAAAGATACTGGGTCTGGTGTGGGCTTTTGAATCTGTGACACACTTCCTCCAACAAGTCCACACCTCCTAATCCTTCTCAAATAGTGCCACTCCCTGACAACTAAGCATTGAAATATGTGAGCTTATAGGAGCCATTCTTATTCAAAGCACCACATTTAGTTTAGAAAGCATCAGAAGAAGCATATTTGGTAAAACCATTGGTACATGTCCACCAATTTGTCTCAGGGGCCCCGTAATACCATTGTTATCCAAATGAGTTAACCCACAAGGCAGAATAGCAGGCATTATGATAAGGGAAGTACGTAGGTTAAAGGTTTTGGATAGTAGACTGTAACAGCCCCTTCTAAGTTATGTTAGAGGAATTAATGTTAATTTGAGCTGCCCTTAATCACAGTGAGTTTTGTCAGTCAATGACAGTCTGGTTAGTTCCTATTCCTATGTATTACTGGGGCCAGGTAGTACATAGCAGAACCAACAATCCTGGCCAGTTTCTGGCTGGGGATGATTAACTAAGTGTAGGAGCTTATGAAGAGTAGGAAAGGGGGAAGAGGGATCCCTCAGCTTTACAGACAGGGAGAGGTGAAACTCCTGTCCCAGGTGTGTTTTTTGGAGGAGAGAGTTGGCCAGGACCTTGGCACAGGTAGGAGATCTTCGTTCAGACCCAAAGGTCTGGGCATGGTTTATTTAATCTGGATAAGAAGTCTATCCCAGTAGGCCCCTTCCTGTGGCATAGATTTTAATTCCCCAGG